CCATACATATATATGGATACATATCAAGAATCTACTTCAAACCACAGGAAATACAGGACTGACTGAGAATGTTGGAGACGACGCTAGTTGGGGCCCTGGTTGAAAGCCGTAGAAACTAGATCATATTCTAACTAGTGACCAACTAGTTGTCGAAAAAGTCCAAATAATGACCCCACTAGGAAGTAGTGACCATTCAGTCATAGGATTCGAAATTGTTCTCCATGAGAACTTACAGTGGGAAGCCTAGCGACCATGTCTGAGCTATAACAAGACGGGCTATGCTGAAATGCGGAGGCTTTTGTACGACGCAGAATTTTCCACAGAATGGCATGAGTTATCTGTGGATGAACACTGGGAAGTGGTGAAAGAGATTATTCATACATCAATCTCGGATACAGTCCCTGTAGTCACAACACAGCTGAGAAAATGGTCGGTCCTCAGGGCTGAAGAGAGGTATGCAATAAATTCTACAAGCAAAGCAGAAGGCTTGGTATACGTGGCGAATATCCAATAGTCAGACTGACCGCAATACATATCTGCGACTCAGGAACCACTGCAACACAAGAGTCAGGAATGACGAGAGGTCATTCCCGGTTAACCTTGCCGAGAACCTCCTGGAGAACCCCGAAAGCCTGTACCGATTCATGTCAGAGAGTAAACCAAACAACACGGCGGGCATGCGTCTTAGTAGGCCCAAACGGTCAATACCTCACTAGTCTGGAGATGGCTGAAACATTCAGTTTAGCCTTCGCCAAACAGTTAAACAGCAGTATGGGTATTACTGGTACGGACCGAAATGGAGGCACTACTACTTCACCGGAGGAAAACTTAGTGGTTACTCTCCAAACAAAACTGGCAATAATACTAGGGAAGCTACACAGACTCCCATCTGGAAAGTCCCCAAATTGTGACGATTTCAAGCCATCTGTTCGGAAACAGTGCACCGAAGCTCTCTGTAGGCCCTGATGAGACTTGTTCCAACATTCGATGGATTCGGGGAAACTGCCAAGGGAGTGGAAAACAGCCACCCTTCCTCCTATTTTCAAGGGTGGGGACAGGCGAAATGCCACCAGTTACAGACTAGTAGCGCTACTCCCAGTGGTATAAAAAGTACTGGAAAGTATAATTGGTGATCACATCAGGGAGCACCTCGATGGGACCAGTGGACTCCATGAAGCACAACATGGTTTGAGGAAAGGCATATCCTGTTTAATAAAACTACTATCAGCTTGGAACGATTGGACAACATGTTGGGATATGAATATTCCAATCCATGTGGTCTTCCTAGACTTCGAGGAGGCATTGGACTGATAGGATCCCACATATTTTGGTATTGACTGTTTAATCTTGCATATATGGTATATTATCATTCTCACACATTTTGGTATTGACTACTAATCTTGTATATATGGTATATTATCATTCCCACACATTTTGTTATTGACTGTCAACCTCGCACATATGGTATATTATCATCTCTCACGCACTTTGTTATTGGCTATTAAGATAAATTATTTCAAATGCTGTTAGCTGTCCATATTGTTGTAAAATGTATAAATACCATGGCTTTCTTTATCGTTGTTGCACTTCAATACACAGTCACAGTCCAGCCTTTGTCTTTTGATATTTGCGTGCTTTACTAAATCGGAAGGTACGACAAGCAGATAGGCAGATTAGTTCAGGCGCAGACAGAGCAAGGTGAAAACGTCTTCATTCAATTCCCTACAGTTATAACAAATTGGCGACGGGGATTACCTTAATTCAGTGCAGTTATACCATGGACACAGTTCACCATGACCTTCTCCTACACAAAATAAGTCAGGCAGGTATAGGTGAATTGAATGAAGCAACAAACAATCAATGAAACTTATCGCGTGCTGTTACACGTGTTGCAAATTCCTTCTTTCTTCCCTTCCCGATGATAGTTAACGAATACTGTTTGAACTTGTTAAGCATGACTGTTTTCCTTCCAGAAGAGGTTCTTTATCCGTTCTCTACTTATATACATATATATATATATATTTCTCTTCTTTCTTTTTTTCTTATGATCTGTGTTGTTTTATTATTACTGTGTGATGCATCCTTCTAGGTGCCATATTATACCAAGTTTTTATGCGTTTAAATAAAAAATAAATAAATAAAAGGTGAGCCACTTCTGTCATGGTTGAAAGACTACCTAGCTGAAAAGAAATTTTTCCCTAACGTAATTAAGTCCGATCATCCTGGCTTAGCTCATCATGAGAAGTGTGCAATGCTCTACCCTAAAGCCACTGGTGGTTTTGATTTCTACCAATGACCTATCAGGCCGTCTAAGCTGCCTGACTCTTCTTCACACTGATAACGCAAAGATTTGGAGAGCAATAAAGTGTTCGGAAGACTCAGATAGACTACAGGCAGACCCAGAGCTTCTGGAAGACTGGGCGGTGGCCAGTGGCATGACTTTCAACCTTAAAAAGTAGGCTGCAGAATGTAAGTTACACCCTGTGCAACGAAAACTTTTCCTGCACAACGTCGGAGCGTGACTTAGGTCTAGTTCTAACGGAAAAATGGACACAAGTGTAAATTACACGGGGGATGTAGCGAGGACATATGTGGTCATGCACTTTACACATAGACAGTTAGGTGCACTCACTACTGAGCTCTTTCTAAGGTTGTGCAAAACATACACCAGACCGTACCTTAAAGTACACAATTTCATTCCCCCCCCGTTGCTTAGAAATGACACGAACCTTTTTGAAAGAGTCCAAAGACGGGTGATAAGAGGGGTGATGGGTCTCCGAAACAAACTGTATGATGGACGGCTAAAGAAATTAGGCCTATTCTCACTTAGGTACCGTCGGCTCAAGTGGGACTTGATTACTGACGAAAAGATAACAAATGACCTGAATCACCCAAACAAAGGTGTTCTGCCATTGACTAGGTATGGGCTTCTTCGTGGAAATCCCAGAAGGACCCACATGTTTTGGAAAGAAAGGCAACATGTATTTTCTTCAGCGTGACTAAATTATCATACGAGGAAAGACTATACAGTCTAAATCTCGTCGTCCCTGTCATACAGCAGGCAGAGAGGAGATTTAGTTACAATGTTTAAAATTTTAAATAATGACTACGAACCTGACCTATTCTCTCTTTCCCTTCCCACCAGGTCGGAACACCTAAGAGGAAATAGCAGGAGAGTTCAGAAGCCAAGAAGAAACCATATTACTGTGGAGTACTGGTTATCACACCGAGTCACACACTCCTGGAATCGGCTCTCAAAAGAGGTGGTATATGCAGCGTTTGGACAAGCAAAGAAATTTACTAGAAAGAGACTGACATAGGCTCTAAGCCCTCTATCCTCAATCAACAAATCTGGATCGGAAATCTAAAGTGGTGGGAGTGTACATCAAGTTAGTCAATAATCAGTTACAGATTATAGGGATAGAAGGCTCTTGTTGCCTATGTTAATCCTCGCGATTGATATCTCTGCAGAGATCCAGTTTCTCTTTGAAATCGTTCACCAGTGGAGCTGTTACTATGGATTCAAGTAAGGAGTTCCAGTCGTTGACCACTCTGTGAGAGAATCTAAACTCCAACCGTATTTTATTCGACCTCGGTTTGAGCACCTTCTTCTGGTGACCCCGTAAATGTATCCTAGGTGGAGAGAAAAGGTTTGAAAGGTCAATCCCTAAATCACCCTTGAATATACGGTAAGCCAAAATTAAGTCACCTCTGCTCCTTCGGTACGATAATGGGAAGAGATTTAAATGCTCCATCCTAATATCATAAGGAAGGCGTGAGATACCACTAACTAATTCCGTTCCTGCCTTCTGTACTCTTTCCAGAACATGTACCTCCTTTCTGAAGCACGGACTCGCCACTTCTATGCAGTACTCTAGATGAGGCCTGACATATGTTGCACAGAGTACTTGGAACATACCCTCGTCTGATCGCTTCAAAGCCCTTCCAAGTGCCCAATGCATTCGAAAAGCCTTAGCTGCGGCTCGATTAGAGTTTGCCGTTGTTTTTAAGTCATGGCTAACAATAATTCCTAAGTCCTTTTCTTCCCTAACATCTGGAAGTTCTGTGTCTCCCATGGAGTACGATGTGTAAGACTTCTGACCTAGGTGCATTACTGCGCTTTTCTTGGAACTAACTTCCTGACCCCAAAGCTTAGCCCATTCGGTTTATTTGTCTAGATCGTTTTGTAGTACCAACCTATCATCGCTACCATTTACGGTTTTCCATATCTTAATATCGTCCACGAACAGTGAGGAAGATTAGGTAGGAATTTTCGGAACTTCACTTATGTATAATAGGAATAGCAGGGGATCAAGTACAGTTCCCTGAGGTACTCTCGTCTCTCCAACTCATATCATTTATAGGTACAACGTTTTCTTTCTTTCTTTTCCTCTTCTCTTTTTTTCTGTTATGCGCTGTTTTGTTTCTCTCTTACTTACAAACTCAACTTAAAACATTCTTCTTCGTTCTCTCACACTCTGTATACCTCGACCTTTTGTTACCGCTAACGCCAGTAAATATGCTAGCGTCTACTTTTCTAACACCTTCAAGCACTCTGTTCACTTTTGCTTTTGCTACCGATATGCCAATATATTGTGGTCAAAACGAACTGAGATTACCCTTAATCTAAGTAGAATTTTAATTATTGTTAATGTACCAATTGGATGCAATACTGTTATGGGAAAATTTATTTACAGTTATCTTTAAAAATATGTACGTATATCGGTCCGAGCATGACGATGTAGATGCCTGATCATCCTCCTGTGCACCAACTTCATGTAGATAATTGAATACGTGAAGAAACGCACTCCTACATATCCTCGGATGCGTCTGTTGAAGGTTTTTGATTTGATACAGTATGCCTTGTACGAGCATTTGCATGTCCAAGTCCCCGATTGTGTCCGTTGTGATTGGATGACAGTGTGATTGTAGTCTTGTAACCACCTAGTACTGTCTAAATACATCTTTTACAAATTTACTTGAGGCCTATATGAACTTACCCAGACTGGTATATATATGACATTTAGTATGAACTAGATGACGGCATGGCAATAGCACATTGCTGTTTTGAAAACATCTGCAGCTGCAGTCACGTTTGTCCACAACGGAGTTTCTGTCACCTTCGAATACCATAAATGCTTCTGTGCAACCCGTAACTTTCATTTCAGGAAGCCTCTTGATGCTTTTGTAAAGTGTATAGGCGGTATAGCTTGCTAGATGCCTCAGAATGTTGGAAAGACCTTCGTCCACCTAAAAAGATTACAGGCTACAACTATACGACTTACATCAAACTTAGTGAAGTAATGCAGATTCCGATTCTCTTCACCACCCTTCCTTCTCGATGACCCAATAGAACACTTCCAAATCTCACAAATGCTCAGTTCCAGCGGTAAGCACTTTCCCAGCTGTGTCTTCAGGTGCTTATGGCACCACTCGCCTCTGCTAATGGCTACGTTAACAACAACGACAATCTCTCTCACGTAACAGTCTGCCCACATACTATGAGAACTCCGTAAGTTGTCCAATGTTGAAAGCAATCAATCATTATTAGTAGCACTAGTTTTCTCTCCTGTTTGTTGTAGTTTCATGAGCTATTCAATCACATCTGCCAACAAACACCTACTAATAGTGTATGTTGAAAGTAGATTTAACAATATACAAGATGAATGTTTCTGATGATCGTTTATGTCGGCAAACGCTTTTTTATACTTATATTAAGAAAGCTTTTTCACTGCTTTTTATGTTCATCAATTGATGTGTGGAGAGTAACTACTAAAAGCACTTGTGATGCCCTAATGACCGGTCGATAGGTCCATTGTGGTCAATTATAAAGTGAGTCAACGAGCGAATTGACTGATTGATGTCATCTCTGTGACTGTATTAACGGGTAGCAATAAGGACAGAAGCTACATCAACAGTTTTACGTCGATTACCTCCGACGAGTCTTGAGATAACTGTATATATACACATATATATATATGCATGTCAGGTGTCCTATGCAGTGGAAGTTAGTTACTTGTACATGGTGTTTGTATGCAGATTAAACTAGAAGTCGTAGATGCTACGTGAGGTGGTGGATTTATGGTATTGCTTAAGACCTGAGTTACATCTAGATCATTTCTAATATGAATTTTCAATAATGATTGTAGAAGTAATTCCAGGGTGTCTGTCCTATTATTATTCTGATGCTTGATTTTTGTCTTTTACATTTTCATTCTTTTAGCATGTACTATGTGCGTCGGTGGCACAGCGGTTAGCATGCTCGCCGACCATGCACATGGTCCGGGGTTCGATCCCCGACCGACTCATTCCTTTACCTCACTTAGCCAGGAGTAATGCTGGTAAAGAGGGAAGGTTGGGCATGATGCTAGCAACTCCATCCTATGAAAATAAACACTGCAACAGAAACTTCAAGCCTCTTGCTTGAAGCCCTATATTCCACTGGGAATGTGAAGGGAATAAATAAATAAATAGCATGTACTATAGATTATGAAGCTAATGAGAGTCTTGTGAATTGGTCGTTTCGCACACGAATTCATTGTTTTCGGACATTATAAAGCAACACTAGTGGATCAGTAAAGATCAGACCTGTCTGGGGTATTTTGCCTAGTTGGCATGTTACGCTGAGTCAAATACCTCAAGAAAATTGGGTTGGTTTAGTTGTCAGATCTATTCACCTTGAAGATAACGGTCCTGGTGTGTTTCCGATTTTAGAAGTGTGTTTAGAAACTCCTGTAAGTTGTTATGTGACGCGGTATTTAGCTTCGAAACTTTGTAACACCAAAAGTGTTGGAGAAGTACCAGCAGTGACCTACTTAGATTTCTACAGAACGAAGTGTCTCCTGATGAGAAGCCTACCCATCGATACATATTAATGGGTAGGCTTCTCATCAGGAGACACTTCGTTCTGTAGAAATCTAAGTAGGTCACTGCTGGTACTTCTCCAACACTTTTGGTGTTACAAAGTTTCGAAGCTAAATACCGCGTCACATAACAACTTACAGGAGTTTCTAAACACACTTCTAAAATCGGAAACACACCAGGACCGTTATCTTCAAGGTGAATAGATCTGACAACTAAACCAACCCAATTTTCTTGAGGTATTTGACTCAGCGTAACATGCCAACTAGGCAAAATACCCCAGACAGGTCTGATCTTTACTGATCCACTAGTGTTGCTTTATAATGTCCGAAAACAATGAATTCGTGTGCGAAACGACCAATTCACAAGACTCTCATTAGCTTCATAATCTATAGTACATGCTATTTATTTATTTATTCCCTTCACATTCCCAGTGGAATATAGGGCTTCAAGCAAGAGGCTTGAAGTTTCTGTCGCAGTGTTTATTTTCATAGGATGGAGTTGCTAGCATCATGCCCAACCTTCCCTCTTTACCAGCATTACTCCTGGCTAAGTGAGGTAAAGGAATGAGTCGGTCGGGGATCGAACCCCGGACCATGTGCATGGTCGGCGAGCATGCTAACCGCTGTGCCACCGACGCACATAGTACATGCTAAAAGAATGAAAATGTAAAAGACAAAAATCAAGCATCAGAATAATAATAGGACAGACACCCTGGAATTACTTCTACAATCATTATTGAAAATTCATATTAGAAATGATCTAGATGTAACTCAGGTCTTAAGCAATACCATAAATCCACCGCCTCACGTAGCATCTACGACTTCTAGTTTAATCTGCATACAAACACCATGTACAAGTAACTAACTTCCACTGCATAGGACACCTGACATGCATATATATATATGTGTATATATACAGTTATCTCAAGACTCGTCGGAGGTAATCGACGTGAAACTGTTGATGTAGCTTCTGTCCTTATTGCCACTCGTTACCAAAGTGTGTCTTCAACTAGGCACTGATTCTCTTCACAGATGACTCCATGTCGTATCACACACTACTACAGTCACAGAGATGACATCAATCAGTCAATTCGCTCGTTGATTCACTTTATAATTGACCACAATGGACCTATCGACCAGTCATTAGGGCATCACAAGTGCTTTTAGTAGTTACTCTCCACACATCAATTGATGAACATAAAAAGCAGTGAAAAAGCTTTCTTAATATAAGTATAAAAAAGCGTTCGCCGACATAAACGATCATCAGAAACATTCATCTTGTATATTGTTAAATCTACTTTCAACATACACTATTAGTAGGTGTTTGTTGGCAGATGTGATTGAATAGCTCATGAAACTACAACAAACAGGAGATTAAACTAGTGCTACTAATAATGATTGACTGGTTTCTACATAGAACTTTGCACTGATGTGCAGCATCTCAAGTCACTGCACTTCACTCATCACGCCCCGAGGCCCTCAACTAGGAAGTCTATATCTTCATAATTGACAGTTTTGGACTTTATTGACTGATGAAGCCATGTTTTGGTTTGACAACCAGCGGCTCTTTTCCAACCTAGCTCGATGTCAGCTAATATTACCCATCAAGGAAGGCGATGGCTAGGCTAGGATAGACATGCGTAACACATGTCCTAACCATCTCAATCGAGGTAACTTCACAGTCTCGTCGATTGATTACCACAGTTAGTTTAGGCCACGTAGGAAGATGTAGACTGACGGGTTGAGGTCTTCGGGACGGTAAAAACCAATTGCTGGAAACAGTTGGTGATATGGCCTAAAAGTCGTTCTCAATGGCGCAGATGCATTCACTACTTGTGACTTATAATTTCCAATGAAACTATTTTCTTCTTTGCTATTACTATTCTTTCGTCTCACACCTCCGTTTACTGTCCCTATTATGCATTTCTTCTCTTGCTTTGTGTGCTACATGGAGTATCGCGACTTGACTGCTGCACATCAGTGCAAAGTTTTATGTCGAAAACAGAGACAGGCAGACTACTGGTCTGTCGGCCTATGCTAATAGGGTGTTTGTACATCGCTTCTTTGATGTTGTTCGTTGGATCTCGTGCTTCGTTTGTTTCTTGTCCACTACCCGTTGCACCTGGAAAACAAAACAAGAATGTTAAGAACCTTGTTGAGGAAAATGTACGAAATGAGCGTTTAAAGAATGATGTGCATCTACCATACAGTAAACTAATGCTAAGTTTAGAACTTCGAAAAAAGGAACTTATCCCTAAGTTCCTATTGTTACCAAGACGCTCCGCACCGATAAAAACTATGTGCTTTCTACGACTTTAACTCCAAAACACCAGTATTGTGAGAAGGAAGTTATATCGTTGGACAATTAAAGCTGTGAACAGTAAAAGTCTATAAACAAATATTCTAGACAAAATTATGGAGTACTTTTATTCGTTTTTTGTCGTCCGCATCGAACTTGTACACCATCGAACCATTCGCGCCTTTTAGTTGCCCAACAATGGCTACCAGTTCTGAAAACAAACGTTCAATGTTCGCCTCCATGGACACTCCCCGGCTGAAAAGGGCCCATCCCTTTTTCCATAGCGCTGCCAACGCGGGAACCTGGGCCTACCGAGCCCAGGCTAAAATTGGAAAAGCAAGACAAAAAGCCCAACACACAACAAGCATACCACATCACACCGACACGCTCTCACCAGAGCGTGGAATCTACGCTGTCTGTAGACAGTATCACCACTGATCTGGTTCACGAAGCGTTGGTTGATTCATATCACTCTGGCACAATCCTCTCCCCAGTGTATCCGATCGCATACACTGACTCTAACACTACTCCATTCGTTCACAAGACTAGAAACGACTTCAGAAGTACTCACAATAACATCACAAGATGATTCACACAAAGCGACAACTATTATTAAAAAACCAACAATTAGATGAATTGGAACCAATTCAATTTTTTAACACAAATGTATGTACAATCAATACATCAATTGTCGTGGACTCCGCCTCGACGAGCTACCCTTGAAAAACTGTAGGACTTACAGCACTACGCCTACATTGCTTCTCACGTTGACACCCTAGGTTGGAAAATCGTCAAGTGGTTCATCCTCTCACTCTCCACTCTCAGCACCTTCCAGTAGACACAGTTTCCTAATATCTCGCACCAACACCCCACAACTTGTCCTCATCTCAACAGCCTTCACCAACCTATCACCACTACAGAGTAGCCTTCCTACCACTCCCAAAGGCCATCTACCTGTGGTACATTTATCTGCTACTAAGACTATATCACCAACCTTTAAGTTTCTGCACAACGTCTTCCATTTGTCTCTGGTTTGCAGTGTTAGAACATACTCCTTTAACCATCTTTTCCAAAATATATCTTTCATGTGCCTGGCTTGTTTCCATCTTTTGATCGTAGGTATCCGATCCCCGGTTGAGTCCTCTATGCCAGGGTTACCTCTCAATAACAATAGTTTATTTGGGGTTAACACATCGAAATCCTTGACGTCGTCCTCCACAGGTAATAGCGGCCGGTCATTTAGTATTCGTTCAGCTTCACATAAAAATGTCTCCAATGTTTCGTCATTCAAACCCTGGTTCTTAATTATGGAGCTTAAAATACGCTTGATGATTCCCATAAGTCTTTCCCATAGCCCACCTCTATGGCTGGCATGTGGTGGGTTGAAGTGCCACTCGATGTTTCTTTTCAGTAACTCTTCATGAACTCTCGTTTGAGGTCTCTTTAAGCTCGGCGTGACAGCCAACAAAATTAGTCCCTCTGTCACTGAACATCATCTTCGGTGCACCTCGGCGATTTATAAATCTACCTAGTGCTAGAACGAATGAATCAGTAGTTAACGTATGAACCATCTCAATATGCACAGCTCTCATTTTCAAACAGGTGAATAAACAGCCATATCATCTTTTACATAGGGTTTTACCTCTCTTCACTACTAAAGGTCCGAACAAATCCACTCCGACGTACTCGTGTGGATAATTGCCTTCAGAAACTTGCCACGCTGGGATTGGTGCCATCATCTGCTGTGCTGAGCGAGCATTCCGCAGTTTACATTCCATGCACTTATCAATTGTTTTACGGACAGCAGTGCCTCCCTCCACTATCCAAAACTTACATCGAATACTTGATAGCACTTGTGAATAACCCAAATTACCTTCAAGAACATGGTAGTGTCTTATAATGAGATCAGTGACTGGATGGTAGCAAGGTAATAAGGCTGGATGACGGGTCTCACATGACGATTCTAACATTGATAGACGTCCACCAACTCTAACGATCCCTTCGGAAACTATCGGAGATAATCTATTTAACCGCGCCTTGAAATCTGCGAAATCGGGACTATCTTCCTTGGCAATCTCACCCTACGCTTCCCACTGAGAAGCCCTCAAAATCGCTAACTCTGCATTTCTAATATCTTCGACTCTCAAAGGTCCCACATTCATGTTATCGTATCCTGCAAGATGCATGACCTTTAAATACGTAACATATCGTGCCAACCACGCAACAGCCTTCAGTAGTTTTTACCAAGAATAATAATATCTAAAAAGTGGATGTAAACCCGAATGTCTTTCTTGAGTAGATGTTAAACTGACACTTGTCTTAAACTCCAAGACACACTCGCTTATCGGTGGTTCATCTTCTCTACTAGGCCACATACTATCAGTCCGTAGCAAGAACTCTGGACCTTTCCACCACCTATTTTTAACCACATTCATATCAATAACTCCTCGCGATGCTAGATCAGCTGGATTTTTTCCAGACGGTACGTACCTCCACTGCTCGATGGTTGTTAGTTCACGAATGTGAGATACTCTGTTAGCTACAACACATGCATATCTTGCTGACTCGTTGCGTATATAAATATATCACAGACATCGAATCAGTCCAAAACGTTACAGGATACTTGGGATAATCCAACTCTTTACACACCGTTGTGAACAACTGCACCGCTAGCAAGGCTGCAGTAAGTTCTAATCTCGGAATCGA